TGTCTATTGGCTATCTCCTTTTTTGATTTGTTAAACAGGCACTGGTCAATGTCCCGTCAATGTCCCCAGGCTAGTTGACGTTTCTCTACGCCCAGCACCAATAGGGCTAACACCAAGGAAAGGCAAGCCACCCTGTCTTAGGCTACGAGGGATATACCCGTGCCCGGGTCATTGCCACTCGCTAATCCCGTCATGGGGTTGGCTTGTCATCAATTCCTCAGTTGTCTTCATGGTGTAAATCTGGCATGTGGCGTCAGCCTAATTCTCATCATTGGGACCAATGGCAGCTGTCCTGGAGACAAAAGGATGGAGTTATCTATCTGGCTGTTCTTGGCCTGTCTAGTGTGGTACCGGTTATGACTCAAACTCAAGGCCGATCAAGCAAATTCCATCTTGGGGGAATAAGCGTTCAAGAACCAACAGTTTAAGACAGTCTCCCTTACCCTATCAGGTGCAATGGAAGCAAGTCCTCTGAGTGCAAGGGCTAAGGGGAACAGAAAGAGATGCAAACACCCATCCCTGTGCAATGGAGTCATCTCCTAGGGGTGCAAGGGCTGTTTGTCTCAAAATTCTGGTACCACAGCTACACAGACAAGGATCAGCCAGGCCAAGACTCCTCACTGACCCAGTGTAATGGGCAAATCCTCTGGGGTGCAACGCTGATGGCCTAACATTCAGCACCACCACTTGTGAGGGGGAGACTGCTTATAATTGAGGCAGTGATAACCACACTGCAGGGGAAGCCCCTAGTACTTTGGTCACAAGCGCCTGGCCAATAATAGCCTTGTCAAGATTTTGTTGAGCTCTGAGTTTGCAAACCAACCAAAAGATGAATACTAATCTGCAACATAGGGCATACCAAACAGGCCTACTCCCACCCACTTAAAAAGAAAGGAAAGAAGAAGAAAAGAAAAAGAAGAAAGCTGAAGAATTCCAGGAGGACAGTCCCTCAGTCAGGGACAGATCCACGCGCGTCGAGTTGATGTTCACCACAGCTGCTCTCAATTTTCTGAGTGTCTCACTGAAGTTTTCTGACCAATTTCCTGTAAGATACTGAAACAATTTTCTGGACAGATTAGTTACACGAGTAAAGGTTTTATACTGTACACTGGTGATGTAAAGTGTACCCAGTTTTTTCTCACATCTCAATTGGGCTAATTGAAAGAGGATATCTAATCTCTCTCTCACTAAATCAAGGCGTTGATTAAGGATCATTAGCCCGCCTTTTAGTTGGGCGCTGGCGGAGGTTTGAAGGTTAACAGTCTCTGTCACTGTGGCTGACAATTGGGGGTAGTGTCCACCTGGACAGAAGTTGACATAGCAATCTCAGTGGCAGTGGCGGTAATGGCACTAACTAATATTGCCGCCACTATGGCTGCAGTTATACCAAAATCTCTTTTTTGTCTAAATAATGACAAAGTGGAAGGAGTCTCTACGGGGATGGGAACCCATCGCGTGACTCTGGCAACCATAGCGCGAGTGAATCTTTCAGAATTTTAACACTGGGACATCTAGCAAGTTTCATTGGTACAACTCTTAAAGGTGGAATTTGATAAAATAAACAAAAATACTAGGAACCTGTATCCCTTGGATCAGCACAAGGGCTATCATCAGAGCCTGGAGGGTCTGTCTGGGTGTCACCTTCCAGTATCGCGAGTCGCCGCGTCAGCCGCTCTGGTAGCCAAAAAGGATTGTCTTCTTTCTGTGGAAAGACAAAGCGCTCCCCTGGCTTTTATTAAAATAGAATCTGGACCTTTTCATTGTCCGGTCAAGATGTCCTTTTATTTGACCATTTCTTTTGGCCTGTCAGGCTCTAAAATATTGAGGGTAAAAGTGTTTATCTACTCCTCATCAGTTAATTGTCAAGGGGAATTAGGACTTGTATCTCCCTTGAGAATATCCAACAGAGGTTTACATTCTTCTATGGTAAGCTGAAGATGAGGTTTTAGCCAATTAATATCTGTTAACAACTTTTGAGAATCACTTTTCTGGAGCAACAAGTACTCTAAAATCTTAAAGCTCGTTGTATTAGAGCAAAGGCTTGTAGAAAAACTCCTTTAGAGAGATCAGCCAATAAAATATACAACGAATAATATATACTGAGAGATTTAAACGCTTTAACCTTTTGTATTAAAGCAACAACAAATTTTTTAAGGCCATTAATTATTCTTTGGGGCAAGCTTTTTTAATGAATGGCTTCATGGGCTCTCAAAAATCACAAGCAATTTCACTTAATGTAAACCTCTCACTTTACCAGGAGGTAAAGGAACTGTATAGAACAATCTTTTAAATCTATAATAATTTTATATGCATTTACTTGAATGGCAGCTGGAGTAGGCAAGTCAGGCTATAGTGCCCCATTAGTTTTATAAATCTTAAATTTGAACTTTCTCTGTGTAGCCCTGGCTGTCCTGGAACTCACTCTGTAGACCAGGCTGGCCTCGAACTCAGAAATCCGCCTGTCTCTGTCTCCCAAGAGCTAGGACTAAAGGCGTGTGCC